TTACGTAACCATCGGCAGCGTGGAAAATTAGAGTTCTTTGCATTTTTCTTTCCCCAGGTGCTAATGTGCCCACAAATCACTCCTTCCTTAACATAAAGGCTAGAAGGACAGGCAGGGGTCCTGCTGTTTTATTAGGCAGTAGAATCTGTAAGACCTTGCAGTGGTTACTGTTTGCTAAATTTATGCTTTCAGGGAGCTTGGTCTCTTTTACGTCTGTACACGTGTTACATTTTAAAGTTACATTCTCAGGCAATGAAAAGACAGTTTTGTACAGTTTGTAAGTTTGGGACTTTTGTGCTCCAAACTGCAAAACTGATAAGATATCTAAACTGCTTTCTTGATACTGTTATTTCAAGGATGAACAAGGCAAGTTATCAGCTGTCTTTTAGGTTTAATTTTCTTGTTTTGCTTTAAAAAGGCATCAGATCAGCGGAGCAAGACAGTGTGGGGAACAGTGAGCCTTAGCACCTTGTGTTGTAGCAGTTTTGCTTATTGGAACCATCTCCCCTAAGTTCTCTTCATTTTCATTTTGAATTGTTTTATGTGCCGTGGAGTCGGCCCAACTCATAGCGACCCCTCCTTGGGTTTCTGAGGCAGCATCACTACGTACGTAGATTGCCCAACCTTCCTTCCAAGGAGTGGTTGGTGGGTTTGAACCGCCAGCTTTAATTAGCAAATATTTTATTACAAGTCTAGAGGTGGGGTGTTTTGAATTGAGCTCTTCTTCTAGGGGCTCATATCTCCATGTGATCTCCTAATTCTGAGTAACGAGACCTGGTTTGACATTGGCTGGTGTTTTAACGGTGAGCTGACGGAGAGAATCCCTCAGCCTCTGTGCAGTGCCACCAAGCTGGACTCTGCATCTGACTCCTAACTGTGATGCCTGTGGAGTCATGAAGTGGTGTGGTGTCCAGCTCCTATAGGCAGGAGAATGCCCCCTCTCTGTCACGTCCCACAGAGATGGGCACCCGCTCCATTAGCACAGAGGGACTCAGGTTCTGTGAAGGCAGATCATTTCTTCATTACTGGGAGAGTGATTTTACTTCACAGGCCTGTGCAGCTGAGGCGGTACATGTGCAGCAGCCCTTTGCATAGCCGAGTGCCGGCGGGGTCGAAGCCCCAGTTCTGTCATTCAGTTGACTCTTAGGAAATTATTTCCCATGTTCATCGGAGATTTTTAAGAGAAAATGAAGAAGTAGCAACTGTTGCGTTTTCTTTTTCCTGTAGACCCTGACTAAAGCTTGAAGTGCTACGTTTCCAAGGTGAAGCTGAGTGGGCATGTGTTATGGCAGATTGAAAACGATCCTGCTCCATGGGGAAAATGCCTGTCTTGCTCCTTAATTGACAATATGCCAATAAATGGAATGTGGTTCACTCTTGCTGTTGGTTTCTGGTTTCCTTCGGACTCTCCCTTTTCTTTACAGGAAGTGTCTGCACACTGCAGGATTAAGGTACATGAACAGGTGTTCGTGGGAGAGATTTAATATCTGTTGACCAGAGGGCTGCAGAAAATGTTTTGAAAATGCCTCAAGAAAGAAAGTTCTGTTTTTCGTGACATCATTGGCCCAAATCAGCCACCGTTGCTGAGGCTGGCCGTCTCTTACCTTTCAGTTGCAGAAATCTCATCAGAGGAACAGAGGGGTCATTAGCCACCACCCTCATCCTTTGTGCAGGCGGCAGTCTGTCTGGGGAGCACTGCTTAGCCAAAAGCCTCAGTGCAGGCAGCCACTGGGAGCGGGGATCTGAGGCACAGCTACGAAACCAGCACCGGCTTTCACGGTGCACTTAACACCTGCCGAGACCTCCTGACGTTCAGCCTCCCGTGAGCAGGGCGTGCTGTTGCACAGATGCATCTTTATATTCTGGTGACACCTCATAGGAAATGAGGCAAAGCTGTTCAATACTCTGCTGGTTGAGTTGGAGTTAAAATCGAAGGTTCGTGCTTGCACGCCGAAGCATAACGGTCATGGCACTTGACTGGTGTTTGCAGGGTGGTTGGGTCATCAAGTGTGTCGGGCAGAGAATTGTTGCAAGTGTTCGGTTTTTATCTTGCTCTGAAACTTGGAAGCACTTGGCCTGTAAAATACCTCTGCAAAGGTAGCTGCTTGATTTTAACTGTTTGGGAGAAACTTTAGGAAGTTCTGGAACAGTGCTCAGCCTCGGCACTGGGCGAGTTCACGGCGGGGCCCTTACGCACACACAGACGTATTGGGGACTCCCGGCAATGCTGATGGCAGCCCCAGAGACGACCTCTCCCAGCCTGACACTTGACATCCGGGTTTTACTCGGGGCACAGGGCGTGGAGGAGGCGTTCCAGCTGGAGTGGGGGAGCCAGGCTGCCCGATCCCGGCCCTCGGTGCTTCGGCAGCTTGTCCTGCTGTTTTGAAGTCATAGCACCTCAGGTCAAAGCTCCGGTGCCCGATACTGAGGTTCTAGGAAGCACTCTTCATTACAGGGGACAGGGATCACTGGGCCCCAAGACCACAGGGCCTTCCTGGTCCCAAAGAAAGGCACTAACAGGCACAGAGTCAATCATCTCCCACCAGGTAATTAGAAGTCATTTGTCAGGGAGGCAGATGGGATAAGGAGGGGAGGCTTAGGGATAAAGCTGCTGATCTGGACAGGATGAAGGGAACAGAGTAAACAGTTCACCACCTAGCGAAGAGCACTAATTTTGATTTTCACTTGAAGCCAATAAAGAAAACAAAAGACTCTGAGCTCGTTTTTCTGATTTAAAAGGAAGTCCTGAACTAACACTGAAATGTGCTCCCTGCATCTCAGCCTGCGGACTGTCCATGCACATCACTGGTCCTAGTTGCGTGGGGTCTCTGGTCAGACCTGGCCGTGGGTCTCGAGCCGGTGATTTCTCAGGCAGCTGGCTCGGGTGGTGCCCTCAGGCGTGAAGGGAAGGAGTGGGACAAGCTCTAAACTCGGTGATTCTGCCGTCCTTTCGGAGAGAGCAGTGTCACCGTGGCAACCGTACCACTCAAGGAGTGAGCTCTTCAAAACCAGAGGGGACAGATGTCTCTTGGTTTCTAGTGATTTTTTTTTTTTTTTTAATCTATTTGTATCATGAAAGAAGAGGATGGTGAGATGCATTTTGAAATATTTTTAACTACTCAAATTAATCAGTCTGGGTGGTTAGGTTCCAAGAAAAGGAATTTATTTAGTCTGAAATAAAGCAGTTTAGCCATTTAAAATTTAATTTCTTTGTACTTCAATGATTGCTATTGAGCAAATAAAAATCTTTGCAGCCATATAAATCAGCAGCAGAGGTTTTGTTGTTTTTTGTTTTTTTTTCCTTAAGATTTAAATCTGTATCTTCCCTTCCATCTATTTAATTGCTTTTTTAAATAGAAGAAAAGTGCCAAAGGAAGCATGTGACTAAATTCTGGGACAAGCCCAGGCTGTAAGACAGCCTGTGAGGAAATTCGGAGCTTCCAACCAACAGTGCAATTGCAGTTTCTACTTAATTCGGCTTTTGTTTTTAGTGCCTCATGAACCACAAGTAGTGAGCGTTTAAAACACTGGGTTTTGCTTATTGTTTTTGTTTGTTTTTAATTTTTGTGCATAGGCGGCTTGTCGGTGCTGCCAAGAGCAAGGCCTTACTTCCCTGTGTGCGTCCGGTTAGTCCCTTGTGCAGATACGAAGCATGTGAGTTCTCAGAGGGGCCAGGTGGCCGCCAGCCGCTTCGTTAGTGCAGATTCCAAACACATATCGGGACCCAGAGCCCAGGTACCTGCGTGAGCTTACTCACACATCCCATCTTTCTAGCCACACACGGACCAAACCATCGAGCGAGTGGCAATTCTGGAAGGCTGTTAAAACCCTGTGGTCCTGGGGGGACAGCAGCGCCGTGCATCAGAACTGGTCAATGTGATTAGGAAGTTAGGGATGCTTGGATACACTCTTGTGTGTCTGTGCCCGTCAGGTGCGTAGATGAGAACCATGCAATGGCTAAGGCTGTGGCATCGTGCAAACATCGAGGGCAACTTGTGCAAACTAATTTGAATGGTGAGCGTTCCCTAATGAGACGATGTCCTCCATCCTCTGGGAAGGGGATGCCCCTCAATTCTACGTGTGAATAGTTGCCAGGTGCCCTCTCAAAGAGCAGAGGCTGCCGAGTGTTCTCAGGGGTGAGGGCTGGTTGAGAGCAAGAGGGTGTTATAGCAGAGCCTGGGAGAGCAAAGCCCACGATGCCATGAATCCCAGACCCCAGCCCGATGAGAAGCTTCCACGCCTGAGCACAGGGCTCTGTGAGCACGGGACAGAGCCGGCCCTGGGCTGCTTGGGGTTTGCTTCTGCTTTGGGGATCGGTGTGGCAGCTTCCCCCATAAGCATGCAGCGTCTACACGGCGTGTGCACATTCCTAGTGTACACATTATAGCTCCCGGTCTGCTCATTATTACCTGGCATTTCCAGATGACTGTGAGCACAGGAAAGGGATGGGATAATGGGGACAGGCATCAGTGGATCCCAAGGACTGCCCTGGGACACAGGAAGTCACTAACAGGCAAAGGGCTAAGTCATTTCCCACTGAGTCATTTATTAGGGAGAAAAGTGTGAAGAAGAGAAAGGTCAGAGTCTCAGGCACCCGCGACACCAGGCAGGGACTCCAGGGGGTGAGTGTCGCTGGAGAGTTAACAGTCGGCCCCCCACAAACGCACGCTTGAAGTCCAAGGCCAGGCACCAAGCTACTGGTGCAGTAAACACCTGAGACACGCATCTCTTTTTAAATCAAGGGATTTAAATCTTTTTAAATCACAGTGAACTCAGTGTACCGTTAAAGGGAAAGTTCAGAGTGTGCACAAGCCCTTCCAGGTGAGTGATACAGCAGAAGCCCTCCGCACCTGTCAGCTCCCCAGCCCCGCCCCCCCCCCCATGTACAAGCAGAAAGTGAGTGGTGTCATCACGGTGCCACTGTGCAGAGTGAACTTCGGACCGCTGGAGGAACAAACTCATCTTGAGAGAAACTGCTCCGGAAGTGGCTTCTCTCCTGCTTAATGTCCCTCGTCTCCTGGCTCAGCCTCCTGCCCCGCCACGACCTCGTCATCTTCCTCCAGAGCCACCCTGGCATCCTGGAACTGCTGGTACTCGGACACCAGGTCGTGGATGTTCCTCTCGGCCTCTCCAAACTCACAAACATCCATCCCCTCCCCGGTGTACCAGTGCACAAATGCCCTCCTTCGGAACATCACCGAGAACTGCTCCGACACCCTGGCGAAGAGCTCCTGGATGGCCGTGTTGTTGCCTATGAAGGTGGCGGCCATGCTGAGCCCCGGGGGCGGGATGTCGCACACGGCGACCTTGACGTTGTTGGGAATCCACTCCACGAAGCAGCCGCTGTTCCTGGTCTGCACGGTGGTCAGCTGCTCGTCCACCTCCTTGGTGGACATCTTCCCTCGGAAGATGCAGGCCACTGTCAGGTAGCGGCCTCGGCGGGGATCGCAGGCTGCCATGGTGTTGCGGGCATCAAACATCTGCTGGGTGAGCTCGGCCACCGAGAGGGCGCGGTACTGCTGACTGCCGCGGGCTGTGAGCGGGGCGAAGCCGGGCATGAAGAAGTGCAGGCGCGGGAAGGGCACCATGTTCACGGCCAGCTTGCGCAGGTCGGCGTTGAGCTGGCCCGGGAAGCGCAGGGAGGTGGTGATACCGCTCATGGTCAGGGACACCAGGTGGTTGAGGTCCCCATAGGTGGGCGTGGTCAGCTTCAGGGTGCGGAAGCAGATGTCGTAGAGGGCCTCGTTGTCGATGCAGAAGCAGGCGTCGCTGTTCTGGATGAGCTGGTGGATGGACAGCACGGCGTTGTAGGGCTCCACCACCGTGTCCGAGACCTTGGGCGAGGGCATGACGCTGAAGGAGTTGAGGATGCGGTCGGGGTACTCCTCCCGGATCTTGTTCATGAGCAGGGTGCCCATGCCCGAGCCCGTGCCTCCGCCCAGCGAGTGGACGATCTGGAAGCCCTGCAGGCAGTCGCAGTTCTCGCTCTCGCCCCTCACCACGTCCATCACGCTCTCGATCAGCTCGGCCCCCTCGGTGTAGTGGCCTTTGGCCCAGTTGTTGCCAGCCCCGGAGTTACCTGCGGCAAAAAGGAGGTATCAAGCTGCCTTAAGGAGCCCTGGTGGTGTGACAGTTACGCAGTCAGGTGCTTAACTGAGAGGTTGGTGGTTTGAACCACCACCACCACCAGCAGCACCACCACCTCCACCCCACCCCCCCAGCAGTTCCACTCGAGAAAAGGCCTAGCAATGGGCTTCCATAAAGATTCCAGCTAGAAAACCCTGTGCAGGCCACATTCTACAGCTACTGTGGTGAGGAGTGACCGAGGTCCTCAAAGCAAGTGAGGGCCCATCTCCCCATCCGAAGTAAAAAGAGTGAGGAAAATCGAATACACATGGAAACAAACAGTCCAAGAACTGATGGACCACGTGAACTTCAGCATCCATGACCCTGAGACCGGAACTAGATGGTGCCTGGCTACCATTACTGACCACTCTGAAAGGGGTCACAATAGAAGATCTTGCATAGAGTGGTAGAAAAATGTGGAACAAAACTCAAGATCTTAAAAAAAGACCAGGCTTACTGGTCCAATAGAGGCTGGTGGGATCCCCAAGACTATGGCCCTTGGTTGCCTTTCAGGCCTGAACTCACCTCCACGGCCAAACATTCAGCCAAACGATAGCAAGCCTATAAGGTGAACAGTCACCCCAGGGGGCTACACACTGCTCAGAACAATCAACCATACGGATCAAAAGGGCAGGGCAGCGTTTGCCCAGGGAGAAAGCTTAGAAGCCAGGAAGGGACAGGAAAGGACAAGGAAACAGGGAGGAAGTGGGGAGAGGGCTGTTACATTGTGGGGATTGCAATGAATGTCACAAAACACATATGAATGTAGAATGAATTTGTAAACTTTTACTCACATCAAAATAAAAAGTTTGAAAAAACCACCAACCTCTGGGACAGTTCTGCTTTTCACATGGGGCTGCTGTGCATCAACGTTAACTAGGTGGTACCCAACACCCAACACCAAAGTTGCCTTGCCCAGAGGAGCATGATGAGGAAGAAGGCACCACTAGGAGGCATCCTCATCTCTTTCTGGTGGAACCTTCTGGAAACACCTACCATGGACGAAACTGTCAGGCTGAAAGAGGGCTCCAAGCTTGCCGGATCGGATGCTATCCATCGTCCCGGGCTCCAGGTCCACCAGGACAGCTCGGGGCACGTATTTCTTACCTGTGTAGAAAAGTAAAAAGAAGTCAGCAATCTGTTGTTTTTCTAAAAGTTAAAGTTTCTTCAAAATAGAGCCTTGAGATACTGGCCCCTGCAAAAAAGAAGACAGCTATTTTTGCAGAGAGTCTTTGGAGATGGGGATTTTCGTCACAAAAATCTTTAAAACACCTAGAAAATACTTTTTCATTGTTGCTTTGTTAGTTGCAGGGCCAATGTTGGAGATTCTGGTCCTTCCTCTTGGAAATTATTCTGGTTTCCATTTAAAAACAAAACAGGGAGGTGGGTGCTTAAGCCACAGTGGTGCAACAGTTAAGCGCTCAGCTGCCAACTGAAAGGTCAGTGATTGGACCCCATCAGGCAACTCCTCAGGAGAAGGATGTGGCGGTCTGCTTCGGTAAGGACTTAAAGCCCACGTGGCCATTCTGCTCTGTCCTGCAGACAGAGTTGGAATCAACTCGACGGCAGTGTAAACTGCTTGCTCCAAGAAGCGTGCCCCCTCCATAGCCTCTCCCCAGACCTCCTCAAGTGGAGACCAGGTGGCCTGCACTGCTGCTCTGCCTCCCCCGTGCCATGCTGCATGTCGGTGTGTCACTTGTGTCAGGACTTCAAGGCCTCTGCTGCTTCTCTGGCTGGCTCCCTGCTTGTCAGACAAGCATCCAACCTCGAGCCCCCACCCCACGTACCGTGGGCTTCATTGTAATACACGCTGATCCTCTCCAGCTGCAGGGTCGAGTCGCCATGGTAACGCCCTTCAGGGTTGATGCCATGCTCCTCGCCAATCACCTCCCAGAACTGAAACCAGAAGGAGGAGGTCAGTGTCGGGGACCCGGGAAGCCCGGCGAGCCAGCAGGAGTACCAGGGAAGGAGTCGGTGCTCACAGGGCATCTAAGTCACCCAACCCCTCCCCAAGACAGTGTCTGAAGGACTTGGGCCTAAGTGACCTTGTTACACTGCAATTCCCTTTTTGCCTTTTCTGAGAATGGGTGGCACAGACAGCTTGTGCGACTGCCAACCTAAAGGTGGAACTTCGAACACACCCAGCGGAGCTGTGGAAGAGGGCCTGGAGATCTGCTTCCCTTCAGGTCGTTGCTGTCAGTAGGTACCATTGAGCATGGCAGAATGGCAACATGGCCTGGTCCTGCACCAGCCATTATGATGACAGCAAAGAAGACCCTATGGGGCGGTTCTAGACCATAACACGTGGGTTTGCCATGAGTTGGAATCGACTCGGTGGCATCTGACAGCTGAATCTGGAGGCTGCGTTTTGTGCCCACCTCAGTGCCTTAAATGTCAAACAGCTAACGTATTCAACTGGGTTTTGCTCCCGTTACAATTCCGGCCATTGCTGAAGCTGTTGCTCTGGAGTTGCCCCTGCCGCTACATGAACGTGAACTGCACCCTCATCTGCCCCCACAACCATGTCGCGTTGCACTTTGGGGATGTATTTGTGTGCCGGGCATCTGGGCGGGGTGCTCGGGGCACCCTGATGATCAGGCATGCACACGGTTGAGTATGCCTCACACTTCTCTCGTGCCTTCGAGAAGCACAATGCCCTTTCAGTCACACGGGAGTGACAAATAGCAATGGGCTCTGAGCTCTTAACATGGGAGCAGTGGCTGAGATGGCCCCTTGGATGGCCCTGAAGAAGCACATATTAAAGTGCAATGAGAATGCGTGCATTTCTGTTATCCCCAATGGTGTTTTCCCAACCAGATCTGGTAAATGACAGCTCCACTCTGACCACGGTCTTCATAACAAGACTTGACTTTTTGTACTAAATTACCACCACTGTTTAGGGAGTGGGAGAATAAATAAATGTCAGTTCTATGACATTCCTAATTAAATGTGTCTTCAAGTTTTGATGGCCCCAGATGGCAAGTAGCCGCCAGGGCTCTAACCACTGGACACCACGACGGTGGGGGGAAAGCTAAGACCCTTATCCAGTCCTGCACTCCTTCCTGCATCCTCTCTCCACATTATCTCCCAGCTGTAGAGGAATGAGTCACGCACTGTCATCATGAGCGTCGCCACCGGAGCATGAAAAGATGATGGCTTCTCCTCACGCAGCCATATCTTTGCCCCGAGTTGAGAACACAGCTGTTTTAAAGACGACTTTCAGTTCTCTTAAATAACTGTCTGAAGGGGATCAAATTGACCATGGCAACCAGGCAGACTAGCTAGGAAGCTGAGGGGTCAGTGAGTCAGTGTTAATGGATAAGGAGCAGCTGCTTTGGAAAGGGAAGGTGAGGCTGATCGCAGGACTCAAAGAATGTCATCACTGTCCCTGGATTGCATGTGGCCAAGCTGTGGAATTGGTGTATGTCCCTGTGCATATTCTCAACAACAGAAAAGAAGACATTAAAGAAATAAAAAGACTTTACTCTTCCAAACTAAAAACAAAACAAAAACCCATTGCCAAAGAGTCAATTCTAATGCCTAGCAACCCTATAGGACAGAGGAGAACTATCCCATAGGGTTTCCAAGGCTGTGATCCTTACAGAAGCAGAATTGCCTCCTCTTTTGCCCATGCAATAGCTGGTGGGTTCAAACTGCAAAACTCTGTCATTCATACCAGCCAAAGTAATTTTCAAATAGCCAAGAGAACAATTCAGGTCGACGTTATGTGGTACAATTGGTCATCTTCACATTACAGCTGGAGACCTTGAGCCACGCCACCTGTTGTCTGGCCATTGGCCAATTGGATGGGGTACTTAAACATTTAAAGGCGGGAGGAGGAAACTCATTTATATTCCAGAGTGTGTTTCAATTATTTGTGCTGCTGTACAAGAACACTTCATTTTAGGTTTACCTCAACTTTTTCTTGCATGCTAAAGAGAACAAAAGTTGACTCGTCTTGCTTTATAACACAAATGTGGGAGAGGAAGGAAAAGCACTGTAGTGATACGTGCGGTTTCCCAATATACAGTGGAAAACTGCTTCCTGACAAATTACTGTGCACAGGAAAAGTTCCTCGTCAAGAGGATCAAAGTTAAAATGGGGACTCTGTGTATTTCACAGATGTAACTATTGACAGGATTAACATTAATTAAATTAACCTTTCAAGCCTTTAATAGTTCTCTAACGAAGGTACTGCTACTAAGCTGGATTTTAACAAGTGCAGGCAGTCTGCCGGCCCCTTTGTCTGCCCAGCTAACTGGCCGGACTTTCGCTGGCCTCACCTATGATCACTGTGAAGCTAGTCTAAATCATCAGATGTTTCTTACCTTGGATCCGATCTGGTTACCACACTGGCCAATCTGGATGTGTACGATTTCACGCATTCTTGCTTGGTGCACAAGTCTAACCTCTCCACAGCGTCCTCAGAGTCTGGGAGGGCCACTGGTCACCCGTGTGAACCTGATACCACTCTGGTCATCACAGTTACAGGGCCAACTGACCAAGCCACCGTGCAGTGTGGTCCGGGGTGTGTCCAGCCCAGCCCAGCCCTTTCCTCCCCAGCTCCTATCATCCTCTGGCAGGGGCTGGGCTTCTGTCCCCACAGGACATCTCCCAGTCATTTCCCAGAGGACAAGCCCAGAGGCTGCCTGGGTGCACAGGCGCCTGGCTGGTGAAGCGTGTGGTGCAATGACAGCCCCTACCTCACTGGGTGGGCAGGGTCCACCCCCAAGGGCTGCCCCATCCAAACCAGCCAGAAACCATTTTGGCCGGCCCTATCCTTTGGCAGACAAGGCCATGATTTCCCAGACCGTAAAGTGACTTAGCCAAGGCCCCCCAGCCTGGTAGAAGTGCCCTCCCTTTCACACCGCCTGCCAGGGTCCTCTTGTCTTCAGCTTGCTTCTTACTGCTGGTGTGAGGCTGCGGCGCCACGAGATGACTGGGTAGAACACACACGGGTGGCTTTTGTTTTAAGGTGGCTACTCTATTGTTAACAGGAACAAAGCCTAGTGTTAATACGGTCTCATCATAATGAGGAGTTGCTGGGTGGTCCCAGGACGCTCAGCTGCTAACCAAAGGTTGCAGGTTCCAGTCCCCTCGAAGACTGGCCTGCCAATCTGCTTCCCAAAGGTCCCGGCCTTGGCAACCTGATGGAGCACTCTTCTGCTCTGATGTGCAAGCCACCACGAGTCAGGATCGCCACAATGGCAACTGGTCTCCCAGGGCTATAACTGTGGAAAGTTTTCTTTTCGAACTTGGCCGTCTCTGGTTGTGTGGAGCAGAACAGGCACACTGGTTTGGATGAGGGGAAGCTGACAAGCTCTGGAGGGCCGGGGGCATGCAGAGTGTGAGGACACACTCCTGCACTCCAGGGACATGGGCAGCCACCACCCTTGGCCACACCTGCTTTTCTCAAGGCCACTCCTCAGCGTTTGTGCACCAAGGCTGAGACCCATTCCTTGAACAGCCATAGGTGTGGCCCAGCCCTATGCGAGGTGCCACCTTGGGAGTCATGGTGCAGGGGTGAAGGAGATGAGTGCGGATGGAGCAGTGCCCACAGAGCTGCCCCTGCAGCTGGCTCATTTAGCAAGGAAGCATGTGTCCGGCCAGCCCCAGGACACCACCGCACAGGCCAGAGAGGTGACCTGGAGTCTCGGGCCCTGATCCTTGCCTTGGGCGAAATTCCCGAGGGCTGGTCCCCATGGGTCCTCAGCCCAGACCTGAACCTGCACTAACTCGAAGTCCACACTTGTTTCTAGCCCTGCTGAGGCCCGAGGCCCGAGGCCAGTGATGCCAGCAGGATGGCATGGAAAATGGAATGTTGGGCAGGAAAAATGCTTCTGCTGACTGGACTGCAAACTGAAGAGGCCTGAGCTATGTCCCAGGAAGGAGCCTAGAAGAAGGAGAAAGGCCAAGAGGGCCCAGACCAGGCCTGCTCCTCCATCTCCACCTGGTGACCAGCTGCACGACATGATCCCGGATGGGACCCGCATGGGGCGGAGGAGGCAGCTGTACAGGGCATTATCCAGACCACTGTCAACATCTGGCCGTTGGCTAATCTGTGTCACTACCGTATCCACTTTCACATTCCTGAATCTGAGCATTGCCTGGCAGTTGTGTGCACAGGAGTCCTTGTTTTCAAGAGAGGCTGTGAAATACTAGGGGGGTTTGGGGGTCAAGAGCAATGCTGCACGCAACTTACTCCCAGAGATTGAATAACAACAACGATAAAGGGTAAGTGCAGGGGGAGGGGCTAAGGCAAGTGTCCGCTGTGAACAAGTGGCCGGTCTTTTCAAACTTGGGGAAACACTGGGTCTCAGTTACCCAGTTCTGCTGTAACGGGAATACCAAGAGTGAGTGGCCTTCTCACCCAGAGCAAAGGAGAGTGAAGAAAATCAAAGACACAAGGAAACAATTGCTCCAAAGAGCTAGTGGACCACATGAACCCAGCCCCCATGACTCTGAGACCAGAAGAACTAGATGGTGCCCATCTACCACTGCCACCTGCTCTGAGAGGGATCGTGATAGGAGGGCCAGGATAGAGTGGGAGAAAAATGTGTAACAAAAGGCAAAATCATAAACAGATGAGGCTTCCTGGTCTGTTCCTCCTGAGACTCTGGCCCTTAGACACCCTGCAAGCCTGGAGCTGAGCTCACCCCCTTGGCTCACCTTTCAGCCAAACGATAAATGGGCCTATACAGTGAATAGTAGCACCAGGGAGGTATGCACCCAGTGGAACAATCAGCCCTGCAAGGGCGGCATCTGCCCGGGGAAGGGATAGGGAAGAAAGATGAATGGAAGTGGGAAACACAGGGAGGAAGTGGGAAGAGTGCTGTTGCATTGTGGGGATTGCAATCACTGTCACAAAACAAAATGTGCATGAATTGTTGAATGGAAACCAGAGTGCTCTGTAAACTTGCACCCAAATCACAATAAGAAGTTACTGAAAATAAATAAATTAATACAAAAGTGTATTCTCTCACAGTTTAGGAGGCCAGAAGTTCGAATTCAGGGTCCCGACTCTGGAGGAAGGCTTTCTCTCTGTGGGCTCTGGGGGACGGTCCCTGTCTCCTTCAGCTTCTGTTCTTGGCGACCTCAGGCAGCAGGGCATCTGACCACCCTGGCTCATCCCTGCTTGCTGCTTGCCTAACCTGCTCTTGGCTATCTCAAAAGAGGCTGATTTCAGACAGTACACTAATTCTACACCAAGTCCTACACTGATCATATTGCCTCATTGACGTCACAGAAAAAAATCTCTTCCCAAGTGGGATTATGACCACTATGGAACCCACTGCCGTGGAGTCCACTCCAATTCACAGCCACTCTATAGGACAGAATAGAACTGCCCCACAGGGTTTCCAAGGCCATCATCTTTACAGAAGCAGACTGCCTCATCTTTCTCCGTGGAGTGACTGGTGGGTTCAAACCACTGACCTTTTGGTTAGCCGTCGAATACTTTAAGCACTGTGCCACCAGAGCTCCTTATAACCACTATGGCTTCTAGGATTCACAATACACATTTTGGGGACCCAATCCATCCATAACACGTTGTGAGCTTTGCATGCCTGAACTCGCCCCTGCTCCAGCCTAAGGGGCCGCACATGTCCTGGACCCTTCTGCCATCCCTCCAGAAGGAAGGGAAGCACGTGTAAGTTCAGGGGCAGGAAAGGGCATGGGCACAGCAGTCTCTGCACAGCTTGCAAATGCACCCAGGACGGCCACCCAGCTCCCGGAAGTTAGCAGTCTGCCAGGCCATAAGCCTTTGCCCCTTTGCCTCCCACGCCACCCTTGGTTCTCTTGTTTCATCCGGGAGGCCGTGTGCTTTGGGGTGGGCCCTGACCCTAGCCCCTCTGAGTTATGAGGAGCAGCACAGACACGAGACGAGAGGGTACACGAGGTGGGGGACAGAAGCACATCTGGGGAGCACCAAGGAACTGACGAGCGCCCAGACTGCACTGCCCAGGACCGTCCCCGAGAGCCCACCGAGAGCCTTCCAGAGCCAGCACCCTGAGTTCCGACTCCTAGCCTCCTGAGCTCAAAGTCACTATGAATCCAAACCAGCTCGGGGGCGGCAGCGGGTTCGTCAGCCTCCTCAGGGGCGAGGCCATGCGTCTGTTTGCTTGTTGAAACCACTTGTGGCGTTTCTGTCACAGCAGCACTAGGAGGCAAAGAAGGGACCCTGGTGGCCCCACGGCTAAGCACTTGACGCTAACTGAAAGGTTCATGCTTCAAACCCACCCAGTGGCTCTCGGGAGAGAAGGGCTGGTGACCCGCTCCCGTGAAGATTGCAACCTAGGCAAGGCAACCCTGCGCGGCAAGTCTACCCGCAAACGGGGTCGCTAGGAGTTGGGATCAACCTGCAGACATCACGGAGCAACGGTTTCAGAGACTAAGCCCCCACCTCCACTCTGCTTATCAGACACCAAAGTTCAAAGGCTTGGCCGCCCCTCCTGGAGCTTCCAGAAGCTTCCATCAGCAGTTCCTGCCCCTCACGTGAGCCCTGCACTTTAGTGGCTGTTGTCACCCACAGCTGGGTTTGCTAATCACTTCTACACATGCCTTATCTCCCCATCAGCCTGGAGCTGCCGTGTCAGTGCACCCCTGGGTCCCCACAGTGTCTGCCGGGTACACAAAGGCCCTCCGTCAATGTTTGGTAAGTGAACCACCAGCAGCTGTGCAAGTTTGACCAAAGGTGCTCAGCTCGGCGCATTGTCTCCAGGCCAGTCACACATTAACCCCGAGCACGCCTGGCTCCGGGGTGGCCCAGAGGCTGAGTCCAGAGCACAGCTAGGCCTCCGCCCCTACGTGCCGGTCCAGGCCGACGCCAGGGAGTGGACGGGGCGCGCAGTGGCTGCAGTGAGCTGTGCGGACCTCGGCCCTCGTGGCCGAGCTACCGGAGAGGGCCGCGCTGACCCCCCAGCACTCACTGCAGGCCACCGAGCTGGGCCCGCGCTGCATTTGCGGCGTTTGCGTGGCCATGTTCATTCTGCCTTGTGAGCTGTGTTCTGTGGCTGCCCCACCTCGCCCTTGAGCGCATTCCTCTTGGCCATCTCAGTTTACTTAGGGAGGGAAAGGCCAGCTTCCAGATGGATGCTTAAAAGGTTTTTCTGTTAATGGGGCCATTGGCAAAAAGGGGGGAAAAGAGAAAACCTGTTTGCTTGGAGTCCCCTGTCCCGGGTGGTGTTTACTTAGGCCTGCCGGCTGCTGAGCTTTGGACGCTGCGCTCTGGAGAGGAGAGGTGGGCAAACTTGGGGAGAGTGGTCTGCAGGGCCCTCGAACGGACCTCCGCTCTGCACCCCCAACCCTGAATTTTCTCCTCAGTTCACTGGATGAGGGCCCCTGAGCTGCGTGTTTGTGGTGAGGACTGAGCGGCGTAGCTGGCCCC